AATGGCCATCCAAATCATACTAAGGAAAGGAGTAAACGGTAAGGAAAGAAGCAGGAATGTTACTTTCACAACATTTGAACATGCTATAAATCAAGTCAATTTTAAGGAGAGGAAAGTTGGTTAAAAGTCACCGAGAAATGGCAAGGGACAGGAGGAGACTTGATTAGTCAAATATTCCAAAGCCATCCTCAGTAGTGGTGTCTGAATTCAACACAACTGGCCCACAGACATGTAACCATAGCAACAAGAAGATCTTAAAGATCAAAGTCTTTCCTCTGTCTCATTCAACTTTTCGCCTAGAAAATGAGCATAAATAAGCATTGTGTGCTTTCCGTCCTCTCTCATCTCTATCTGAGGGGATGTTTGTGGAATCTATACTTCGGTGTCGCTTGTTTTCATCTGTCGTCTGTTAAATTAATGACCCTTAGTAAAACATCACTGTTGCCAAGTCATGGATATCTCCAAACCACAGCATATACAAGAAGCTTTCATCGAGACAAAAACCTCCTCCAGCATCAACCTAAAAAAACTCTACTTCTATGTGCAGTGGAAGCAAAATGAGATTATATAAAGGCACTACATTTGCTCTATTGTTTCTTTTGCACTTTGAGGGCTTCCAGGGCTTTCCGGGTCAAAGTAAAAGGAGGAATGATACAGCATGTCACTGGCTGCACCTGCAGAAAGCATGACCGCTTCAACTAATTACAATATGGTCTAAGACAGTGCAACCAGTTTTCTTGTTCAGAGACAAATTTAATAATGAATACTTAGGACCATGTGATATTTCAGTTTTTCTTTTTTAATAAATCTGCAAAAATGTCAACAATTCTGTGTTTTTCTGTCAATATGGGGTGCTGTGTGTACATTAATGAGGAAAAAAAGTGAACTTAAATGATTTTAGCAAATGGCTGCAATATAACAAAGAGTGAAAAATTTAAGGGGGTCTGAATACTTTCCGTACCCACTGTATATACTGTGTGTGTGTGCGTATATATATATATATATATAAATTATTACTAAATAAAATGTTACAGAAATAAAGATATTATAATCAGTATACAGCATAGTGGTATTATTACTTGGAAATGTTGTATCTAGCAGTAACACCGAGCTCTGACTTATGTAAAACTCCTGTTACATAACGGCAAGATAAGATGTGAGATGGGATGCTTTCCAATTTAGTTTTTCTTTTTTTCCTCTCTTTATGGGAAATGTTTGTGAAATTCTCCTGGTTGGTGTGTATTTAGATTTTCACAGAGGGAGGTTTAATCTCCTTTCAGCCGTGTGATCAGCGGACACCAGATGACAGATTTGAAGCAGAACATCGCCTAAATAATACAGCCACGCTGACAGACAGACACAACAGAGCGGCAGAGCTCCAGAGCCCCATCTCTCCTCTAATTGCATTCACGCTCAAAACCCCTTGTGATTTTGTGTATTTTTGAGTGAAAATAATAAGAAACTGTATTCTCATCAATATATAACCCTCCATGTCATAACACAATGCCACCATGTTTGTTCATGTTATTGGCCAAAGTCAGTTGACATCATCATCAAACGTGTGAGGCAGTAAGTGGGCATGAGTCACTCCATCCAGAAGGGGTTTTCCACATGCAGGGGATTCATTGACCTCAGCCTCCTTTGTTGGGTCTGTCACGTGGCCGTTTGCCCAGCTCCAAGAGCTCATCTAATGTTTAATCATGCCAGAGCTTCAGTGTTTTACACTGGCGATCCCCCGGAGCAAAAATCACCAACACGCACGCACATGCTTTTACCCATTTAGAAAATTCTCACAGCAGCCACAAGCTCAGTCAGCCGACTAGTGTTGTCTAGCCTGCTGTCACCACATATGTGTAGCATGAGGAAGACACTGCCATGTTCTTATGTTTGCATCAGTGAAATTAATCAAAGCTGTGCCTTTGTAGTGTAATACAGCTGAAGATATGAATCCCATTAGGTCTCTCTTTTCAGATTACCCTGATTTCATTCAATACATTTGATTAATGTGCTCAAAATCCTTGAATAAATCCAAATCCATTTTTTTTGCTACAATTACAGAGTGCATGCATTATCTTGTGGTAAATACATGGGTTGTTGGCATAACGGTGATATATTGTGACGTGGTAACCTCGGGCTCTTGTCTGTTGACCTTTGAGGGTTGTTTAAAGGGGTCATATGATGCTTTTTTAAAGATCATTATTTTGTGTATTTGGTGTAACAGAATATGTTGACATGCTTTAATGTTCAAAAAACACATTATTTTTCAAATACTTTACATTATTGTAGGTCCTCTATGCCCCGCCTCTCTCAAAGGCTTTGTTTTCTACAAAGTCCCTCCCGACAAGCGCAGTTTGCTCTGATTGGCCAGCTGACCCAGTGACATTTGGGCGGCATTATGCTAATATTTCCACATAGTGAGGTAGATATGTGGGGGCGTGTTAGAACGAGCCGTTTTAGGGGGGCGTGGCAGAGTCTTAACTTTGATAAAGAATATCTCTTTGGTTTTGAGACTTTAGTCTTTGCAACTTCAGGGATCTTATCTATGCACAATCAGCTTGTAACACTCCAAAGAGAAAGGAAAACTTGAAATCGCATCATATGACCCCTTTAAAGAGTTGTGTGTGTCACATATGTACACCACTTCACATGATTTGCTTATGTACTCAACACCGTATTTGGTGGAAATCTTGGTTCTTGCCCTTGAAAGACTGAATATCCATTTACTAGGCAACTTAAAGTGTGCCAGAAGTGTGCTATCATCAGTATCAGATTCAATGTTGGGTTGAATAATGGATGTAACGTGTTCATCCATACCCAAGTGCCAGAATTACAACTCCGTAAGGGAGTTTAAACTAGTGGTCCTTGGACTATCTAAATTGAAGACTACATTATGGTGGATTCATACAGTTTTTCATACAATATTGTAAAATACTGTGTCAGTTTTGTTTCTTGAGTTACAATTAAAACAATCTAACCACCAGCATTTATAGCATTATGTAGCTATGTAACACCAAGGTTTGCCAGGGAATGAATGATAAAATACATATCTTGAATACTATGTCAATTTTGGTAACCATGTCTGCCAAATGTAAAAATGTAAATAAATACTAGATATCGGGAATGTCTCAAACATCTTGACACATTCTAAACAATTTGGACTTCTCAGGTTCTTCTCTGTATTTGTTCATCAACACTGAATGTAATAACATCACATTTAAATTAACGTAAATGTTGCAAAGAAAAGATTACTTTGAGAAAATTGTTTATACATTTTTTGAACACAATGAAACACAGAAACAAACCCTCAAGAAATATTCATCCATGGCATTTACAGTTTTGCCTAAATGTCATGTCCCCCCTTGGTAAAAACCAACATATACTTAGTAAAGAAACAGTAATAATACAAGACAGCTATAGTATAGCTGCTGGAGAGAAAAGAAGTGTTACTTTGTCCATAATAAGGTGCATATTTTCTTTTATTTGAGTTTTTTTAAACCAAAATATTACATATTATATAATTATCTTCAAGATTATATAGTAAACTCAATTTATATCTTGTTGTTAATCTGCTAATTATACAGAAGTGATGTTCATAAAAGACTGTGCAAGGTCTACAGGCTGCAAACATTTGTGAATGGGTGAAAGGGTTTTGTTTACAAATACAACTGACCTTCTTTGTCTCTGTTGACAAAGGAACAAACATCCTGTTCATGTTAAATTAATGGGTACAGTTAATATTATTACTCTGGAAAATGGACTCTTAATTAAATGATGATGTGATTTAGAAGTTACAAATGCAATACAGTCAGATACGGTCTCAGTCTCTTGCTTCAAATCATAAGCTACAAAAATAGTCAAATAAACTTCAAAATCTCTGAGGATTAAGCTAATCTTTCTCTTAATATGGAGTTTAATCCAATCAGGAAGATTCACACCTATGACGATGACTATGATAAGTAATTGTTCTCAAATTTAGTTAAAAATATGTGAATTTAGACTTCAAATCATAGTATTTGGTTAAGTTTCCAACATTAACAACTTACCATTTAATCTTTAGTCATTTTTATATTAAGTCACTTTGGGTACTGCACAAAGAGATTTAAAAAAAATATTATATATATATACACATACACAGTAGTCAACATTTGAAGTGCATCCAAAAATCTCATTAAAGTTGTCCTAATACAAGAACGCATTTTGGTTTAGGTTTTAGGACAACTTGGTTTTGATCCACTTCAAATGTTGACTACTGTATATACATATTGGTTTGGTTGTGTAACAAAACTACTACACATGTTCCCAGAACTTGGTTTGTATACAGTATATAAATGTGCAACCAAAACCCAAACTACATTTTTTATATTGATATGTTCGTAACTTGCAACCTATTGTTACATTAGTCTCTAAAACAGACACAGGGAGAGAAAAGTGACTTGTGCTTCTAAGGGACAGAGAGGATCATGCATATACAGTATATTTGATATAGCTGTGGAGCTCAACTTGACCTTAACCTTGGACTAGTGGTAAGTGACCTATAATGACCAATGGATACTGTATCCAAGAGGGTACATTTCCCTCAATTTCTTCCTTTAGTTACCACTCAAATTAACGTCAACAAAGAGGACAAGACATGAAACAAAATTAGGGAACATGTTGTGTGGCATATGTTTCATGAATTATGCACAAGAATATTTAGCATATTCTAGTGATCACCTACGGTGTGTCGACCTCTTTGTCTTGGTTTGAAAACATTGTCATGCATTATTTAGCTAAATACAAGATGCAGTGGAGGCATGTAATACTACAAGTGTAATAATTGGAAATTTTACTTTCGATTGAGAGATTCAAGACATCAATCAATTGAATTACTAGCCCATCATGCTAATGTGATGAGTCAAAATAGTTCAGTCTCAGCTGTAAGCAACCAGTGGGTTGTGAAGCATCTCTATCCCAAACAAAATCAGTCCACCCATATGTACGTCCTAGTCAGAAAGTAGATCTTAAGCATCAACAGTTCTCACCCTCAGTATCATTGACCCTTTGGATCTTTCACAGTTGAACCACCACAGAATATTAGAAAAAAAATTATGATATTATTTCATGCAGATCAAAAAAGCAAGATTTAAGCAGCTTACCAGATGGGAGCTTGTGACGATTCTCCAATAGCCACAGAAAGAGTTTGGCAAAGTTGCAATTGCACACCCAGGGGTTCCCTTCTAGGCGTATCACCCGCAAAGAAGGCAACTGGCTCAACACCCCGATGTCCAGGCCAGAGAGGGCATTCCTCTCTAGCTCGAGCTCTCGTAAGGAGGTGAGGCCCGCAAAGGCGTCCTTGCTGACCATATTCAAATAAGGATTGTTCCCGAGTCGTAGCTTGATCAGACTACGAGACTCCCCGAAAGTTCCAGAGGGGATCTCAGTCAAGTTGTTGCTCCCCAGGTCCAGATATACCAGTCTGGAGGATGTGCTCAGAGTCCCAGGCTCCAGCTTTGTTAGGGAGTTATTCCTCAGATCCAGGTAGACCAAATCACTGTAGAGAACCAGGAAATCAGAAGGGATCCAGGGAATCCAGTTGTTAGACAGAAGTAGTCTCCGTACGTCCAAAGGGATGGAGTCTGGAAGACGGGTGAGCCCTTGACTTGTGCAGTCCACGGTGTGATGGTCTGGACACAAGCAGCTGGATGGGCAGTTGTACCCCCAAGTTAACAAGGCAGAGGATAGCAAGGCAAGGAAAGGCTGAAACCAGCGAACACATGAGAACATTGTCAAGAGGGTGCGAGGTGAAGGGGAGATTGGGGGGATTAAGAGAGGGAGGTTTGGAGAGGAGTAGAGGAGAGGGGATGGGGTAAAGGGACAGGGGGCGAGATACTAGGAAAGGGAACAGGGGCGCATCTGGAGATGACAGGAGTCAGGGTTGTCGTGAAGGCATCTTTCCTTGTCTCCTAGATTGCAATCTACAAAGGCTCGAGCAGTAGCAAGTGGCTACAAAGACACGGCGCTCTGTTTTTCACGAGATCATATAGCAGGCAGAGAGGTTTGGAGAGGAGTAGAGGAGAGGGGATGGGGTAAAGGGACAGGGGGCGAGATACTAGGAAAGGGGACAGGGGCGCATCTGGAGATGACAGGAGTCAGGGTTGTCGTGAAGGCATCTTTCCTTGTCTCCTAGATTGCAATCTACAAAGGCTCGAGCAGTAGCAAGTGGCTACAAAGACACGGCGCTCTGTTTTCCACGAGATCATATAGCAGGCAGAGTGGGTCGTGTGGCAGCCCTCTGGCTCTGAGCATGAAAGGGGAGGAGAGACAGCGATCGAGAGAATGTAGGGAAGGAGAGAGAGAGACCACGCAATGTAAGGGATTAGCAGAGAGGTAAACAGAGATGAGTGAACCAGAGACTGTGAAGCGCTGGGGGCATGGAGAGGGGAGGGGAGGGGAGTGTGATGACGGAAGGGGAGGTGTAGCCCACTTGGTTTACCCACAGTCGAAAGGGAATTCTGATTCTTTAATTCAAACGTACACTATGTGCTGATCCATGTCTTTGTCCATATGCTTCTGCTCTTGAATGTGTGCCAGCTGAACCGTGGTGCCCATAGCACATTTGACTCAAGGCTGTGATTGCAAGTCGTCTTCCATCCTGAATAAATGGCTAATGATATGTTGGCAATGGTTTTCACATTTAATCACATTTGGCTTCTTTTCTGTTGTCCTCCGATTCAGTCGGTGTAGTGCATGATTTTATATTCTGGCTCCATTGCCATGGTGATGGATGTGACGATTAACATGGGGCTGTGTGCATACAGATTACTGCCCTGAAAGTGAGAGATGGTGACTGTGTGTGAACCTCAGTGGAGAAGATCATTGTTGTCTATTACATGCTACAAATCAGAAATCGAATGCAAAACCTGTGACCTCGTCACAGCTGCACAACTCAATCACACTTGTTTACATCCTGAATGTAATGGCTGTCCTGAAAATCACAACGCTTTCAAAAAGTCCACATTTTATATGAATCGAGAGGAATACAAAAAGATTTTGACAGTACCTCTTCTCCAGTGTGCCCATGAAACCGGTCATTACTCATCGCTTTGCCAGCTGTTGTTTATTTTTGTCGCTCTGTGTTCTGAATTCATGTTTACTCCTGTGCTGCTGTAAATCTCCAGGCAGATAGAACACATTCTGTGACCACAGACAGCTTTCCTCTTACATCACATGTGGTGGAGAATAGCATGGCACAGCCCAATGGAATTACACAATACTCCCATAGGTCATATTGTAACCTTGACCTTTCTGGCAGGCATCACCAGGAAAAAAATTATACTTGCCTTTGACCTTTTTCATGTGGCACTTCTTTGAAAAATTTCAACTTGAAATGTTACTTCCTCCGGTGTCCCTGTAAAAGAAACAAATGTCAGGATCATTAGTGCAAAGGAAGGTTAGGTACACGATATCTTCTCAGTAGGGCATTTGGCAGTGTCAGAAAAGCTGTGCAGATTTTCCACTCACGACTAAAGTCTGGCACATGAATAAATTATAAATATCATGAGCAACATACTGTTTGACACAGTTGGGTTATGGATGGGACACAACAGGAAAGGACACAAACAAAAGGTAATGCTACTTACTGTGAAATAAATACTAAATACTTACTTCTATAAGAATGTGGCTTGCTTGTAAGACAATAAAATGCTGATAACTTTGCGTGCCCTGCTTTGGCAGGGTTGAGTTGATTCTTTTACAGATCCAAACTATTAATCGTCTAGAAGGCTGCGTGACAGGGCTTAATGGAGAAGATCATCCAGCTTGGATTTTCTCACCAGGGTCTTTAAAGAGAAACATGAAGACCATGTGCCAGCGCCCCCCCAAAAATTAGACGTGGAAGACCAGTCAACAAGTTGATAGAAAGCACATTCACTTTAGAGAGACGGTGTCACAGTGTCAAAGTGTCAACTCAACAACTATTTTGGGTTACAAATGTGCTGTGCTCCAGGAAGAGCTACAGACTAGAACTGTAACTGCGTATTAACCAACACTGTATATACTGAAAACAACAAACAAGCAAGCATGTATTTTGCAAAGTACTTTACAATAATGCTGAATATGTCATGAAGTTTGTGTAAAACATGTCAAAGATATATATATTTAAAAAAAATTGTCCAAGCATGGTCAGTGAAGTCTTTTCACTTAGTCCAGGCTCATACTGTCAAAATGACCTTTGCCACGCCACTAAAAGTCAGATAAAATGCACAAAACTATCCCAGTAAGGAAGGATATTGATGTTAAAATTCATAAATTAATTATTATAAAACATATCTTTCAATTAAAGCAGACTTAAAGTCTTTTGTAATGTGTCTTTAGGTCTCCCAAAGGTCTGTTCTCTTTTCATCTCATTCTTCAATTTCGTAAGCTGCTTTTGTGTGTGCAGCGCTTCCTTGGTGGCAAGAACTATTTCATGTGGACAGCAAATAGGATACAAAATAAGGCCTGAAAATAAAGTGGGACAGGCGAAATACAAATTTCAAGGGGGAGACGGGGACATTTAAAGTTTTCAAAACTAGCTACTTTCATGCTAATCTTGTTAGATAATGGCTTGTCAAACATCTAACAATTCTTACAACAAAAAACATGGGATTAGTGCCTTTAATGCTTTAAAAATTACAACAAATTGTACCCTAATTGCGAAGTGCCAGCACGTATATATACACATATAATTATATATGTATACATATACATAAATACAAGAAATTGTCAAAATTTTGAAAGAAAAATGTGTGTGTGGGGGGGACTTTTTCAAAACATGACATCTGATGAAAAATGAACACTAAGGGACACATAATAAGGGACACAAATCCGACATGCACCTCTATTAAATTCTGTCGGCAGGCTTTGTGAGGAAATCAGCACATTAAGTGCTTCTGATATGTGACAAGAACATCTGTAGTACAACACTGGTGCATTATTATATGGTTAATTGGAAAGTAATAGTGTTACAAAGCATAAAACAGATAAATAAAACTCATGAAGAAAATAAAAAAAATATTCATCACATTACTTTGTAAAAAAACAAAAAAAAAAACAAACTGAACCAGTTCTGGTTGCTTTGCCTACTATTCACATAGTTGAATTGTTATAATAGTCCTCATATTGGCAAATTCTGCCAGCACAAGATCCATCAATGGATCATTCCTCATCATACATGAGCATCACACATGTATAATTGTTTCTCCCTTTTTCTTGCTATTAGTCCATAGTCCGTTTCAAATGCACACCAAGACAATGTTTTTACATTTTAAATGATCCTTTTCACCATTTCTGGTGAATATGTTTGAGAACCAAATCATATCATAGAGTAAAAGGGCTATATAATCCAAATCTGATTTGTTCTCATTTAATGAGATTTACCCAAAGAAAAACTAACAGCCAAAATAATCTTTATAAAATAATTTGTGATAGTGGCTACATTTACATGCATGAACAAGCTTTTCAACCCTTTTATTCTGCACATGGAAATGCTCTGAATAAATTTATACTCAATGTAACACTATCATGATAAAGGTGACTGCATTTTATTCTAATTCTGTGAATTGTGACACATTCTTCTAATATTTGAATTTTAATAGTATAATGGGTGCACTTTATAAATGCTTTTTAATAGACCCAGAAGATGCTCAGAAAAACTTTAGCAAAAATTGTTACTTGGCAGGTGATTTGCAGGTAATCGGTAGCACATTTCATGATGTAACAATAGAGAAAGCTGCTTAGAGCAAGGAATTTACATACAAAAGGCTATTATTTTTATGCAAATGGTATATTTGACAAGGATGTCACCTTAAATTAGAAAATGTATTCTTAAATGTCTATTAAATAACAGATATACCAACATTTAAAAAGACATGAGAGGTTTTTATGTGGTTTATTAGATATACTGCAAAGTCAGAGATAATACTGGAACATAAACTTGCATGTAAATGCAGCCAGAATTACATTTATGGATAATTTTGGCCATTGCAAAGACTACAGCTTGCCTTCAGTGTGCTGGTGCTGTATCGAGACCATAGCGGTCTTGCGGGGATCTGTTCTTGATCATCCTCTACTTCTGGGCTCTGGACACAGGGCTCGCTGAGGGGGGCGTCTTTCTGTGAGGAGGTCCACAGGAGTCTGGTGTGCACATGGCTGGTCCTATCCTTCACTCTTAAGAATCAAACCTCCACTGACTGGATCTGGTTCATTTGGGCTCGCATCATCTGCACACTGTTGAGAATCTTCTTCTGGTGGCCTGCTAATGTGACTCCCACCTTCAGAATGTCACTGTGAGGACAGAAAGAGGGCGTGAGAGAAGCAACTGTATAATGCCACAGTCAAAGAATGATCTAAGCAGACAAGACTATCTATCAAATTTACAGTAATAGGTTTCTGGCGGCTATAGCATCTGGTTCTGTAGCTTGAAACGAATGAAAATGATTGATGTGAATATGTTGAGCTCTATGGAAGATAGCATACTCCATGGTCATCTGAGATACGGCTTCAAAGGTAGTGAGGTCTTCATTGGCAAAGTTCTCCTTGTACTGGCCCATTTTGATGGCATCAAGCCATTCATCCACTGTGCTGAAGCTGGAGAAGTCTGGTGTGCTGCGGTCCAGCAGAGATAGATGTACACTGCAAAACAGACACAGAATCAACTTCACTAGGATGAGACTTATATCATGTGTATTAGAAAAAGTGTATTCTGCTAAACTAGAAAAAACCCACCATTTGACCCAGCTGAACGAATTAAAAACGCCAAACTATACAACTCTGCCATACACTATCATTCAAAAGTTTGCTCACCAAGGCTGCATTTATTTGCTCAAAAATACAGTAAAATAGTCATATTGAGAAATATTAATGCAATTAAAAATAACTGTTTTCTATTTTAATATAATTTCAAATATTATTTATTTCTGTGATGGCAAAGCTGAATTTTCAGCAGCCACTACTCCAGTCTTCAGTGTCACATAATCCT